AGTTGAATTCTGCCCGTATAGGAGAGAAAGCATGATGACCAATGAGTGATTCTTCTAGTAACCTTTTCCACCAAAGGTCTACAGCATGAATTATTGGCAATGAGTTTGGCAATGCATTTGTAGATAGTGTTACAGCATGATATAGGTCGAAAGTCATTCAGTGAGGATGGGTTGGGGACTTTGGGAACCAAAGCAATATAGGAATTGTTGATTTCTTTGAGGAGGTTTCCACTGAGAAAGAAAGCCTTGATGCTTGAAACAATGTCATTCCCTATAATAGGCCATGCTTTAAAGAAAAAATGGGCATTGTACCCATCAAGTCCTGGGGATTTTTCCTTATTGAGAGCTAGGAAACGAGATTGAATTTCAGCTTCAGTAGGAATTGAGACAAGGTCATCTAAGAACTCCCTGGGTAGAGATTTTGTGATAAAAGGCTGTAGTTGTGAAATTCCAGGGTAGGGAGGGGGTGATGAGCCTAATAGAGTTTGGAAATGGGATACAATCTCAGCATTAATAAGAGGTACCTGGTCAATGGATGATCCATTTGTAGCATTCAAGCAGGTGATCTTTCTTTTGTTGCTAAAAGGTGCCAAGTTGGATGGGTTTGAAAGTTTTAATTCACTCCTACTTTCATCGAACTTCTTGTTTCTTCTTATCATAATCCTCACATAACTAGGACAAGGGACCCGCTTTCACGTGGAAACATGCAAGAATGGTCCAACTGGCCTCCACTCTACCAAACACACCATGTTCACCTTGGGTCAATAGGTACGTCCAGCTAGAGGAACCTTTATCTTAGTGGAAAAAGTAATTCAAAGATAAGGTATATGAGGTGAAATATACCAAAAATACATATCTAAATTGTACTGAAATTGAATGGGATTGATAAGATGCGTCTCCATACTAGATAGAGTTAGTACCACACATATGCGTCTCCATGGAATTAACAACATAAGGGCACATATATATATATGTGTGTGTGTGTATAAATTAGAGTTTTAGTGATTATTAAGACCTTTTTATTTGGACCTAGAAGGGCTCTAGTGATATCATTTGGTACCATAAATAGTTGTTTCGATTAGAATTTTTTTTATTATAATTTTGTCCCTGTCATGATTACTGTCTAATATTTAAGGCTTTGTAGTCAGGTGGCATCTACTCTATTTGTCAAAGTGAATGGTGAGAGTTCGAATTTCTAAAAGAATAGGATAGTGTATGAGTTTACCAAAAAAAAAAAAAAAAAAAAAAAAAAACCTGATTGCTATATATCTAATTACTTTAGTAAGTTTATTTCACTTAGCTTTATTTTGGCTCAATGCTTAATGTTTATTTTGAATTTCTTATATCTTTTCTATATTGTGCTTGGGATGATTATTTTTTTCGCTTTGCTTTGCATGATTTTCTAGTAATTTCATTGTCGCTATTAAGGATGAGAATACAAAATTAAAGAATTTGTTTGTGACTTTCCTAGTAATCTCAATATAATGAAATCAAATGGAATCAATTTACGGAGTGGAATAAATCCTAAAGCAGATGGAATCTTTGATGGTTTAAATTTTGGGTATGATATATAGGAAAAGAAAAATAAAAGTAATAAAGTGTTATTACATTCTTGTGGTTGGCTGCTTTTTATCACCATTTTGGCTTTGGTGCCATATGGATACTATAGTTGATGAAGCAATTTCATGCATCGTACATTGCTATGCTAAAAAGGTACCAAGTTGGATGCTTTATAAAGCAAATATCAGACCATTGGAATATATGAATGAAACTTTCCTACAAAGCTGCAACTATATATATCAAGTTAGACTATATTAATTGTTGCATTGTAAATATCTTGGTGCGGATACATGTTATCATGTTTATCACGTTAGAACTAAAACGTGAATGCGGCTGGTCATTTAACGTATCCTATTGGATATAAGATGTATCCTATTGGATATGAAATGTTTCAGAGATGAATTGAAAAGGCATGCACTCGTGTTAGAATTTTTTAGTGAAAATTATTTCATCAGTCATCAAAAGATGTCTTTAACTGAACATGTGTGATCATTAATTGGTTGTGGGATGAAAAGATGCAACTCAAAACCAATAGATATAACCTATTCAATGTGAACCATTACAAACTATTGCAGTGGTTATATCCAGTGATGAAGAGATACATATAAATGGTTGTGTCTAATGATAAAGAGACGCATATAAATAGTTGTGTCCAATAATGAAAAGACACACCAAATTTAAAAAGGCACTTCTATTTCTATAAATATCCCCTTGGGCTGCCATTTGCAATTCATTCAATTCATTTTCTTCTCTCTCCCTCTCTAGACTTGAACCCAACCCAAATGGGTTCAAACCATAGGTCAAGTCGTTCGAGCCACTTAGATCCTAATCAAATTTCATTGAGCTATATTAAGATTGGTCTGAATCATTTGGTTCGAATTACACCCAATTCAGCATGTATGTCGTATATATGCATTTTTGAGTAAGAGAGAGTATTACATGGTGGAGATTCGCCGTATCCACAAGTTTGTAGTGCTGCTACTGGTGAAAGTAGACGGTTGTATCTTGGGAGACAAGCACCACAAAGTTCGTCAGCACCATATGGAACTTAAATTGTCCAATACTAACCTCAGTCCAAATTATTTATTTTTAATTAATATATTATTACATTATTCTGCATGTTTAATTAAATATCCAATTACATCATATTCAAACTTATTCGAACATGTTATCTACAATATAACCAATATAGACGATTATAAAATAAAGGTAACTGGCCTCCAATGTCACCCACTCTACCAAACACACCGTGTTCACCTTGGGTCAATAGGTACGTCCAGCTAGAGGAACCTTTATCTCAGTGGAAAAAGTAATTCAATGATAAGGGTACATATATATATATATATATATATATATATATATAAATTAGAGTTTTAGTGATTATTAAGACCTTTTTGTTTGGAGTAGAAAGGCTCTAGTGATGGCATTTGGTAACATAAATGATTGTTTCGTTAGGATTCTTTTTTTATTATAATTTTGTCACTATGTCATGATTAGTGTCTAATATCAAAGGCTTTGTGATCTGGTGGCATTTCCTTTACCTCTCAAAATGGACAATGAGAGTTTGAATTTTAAAAAAAGAAGAAGGTGGTGTATGAGTTTTTTGTCAATGACTAAAAAATATATATAAATAGAAAAAAAAAAAAATTTGATTGGTGTTTAATTACTTTAGTAAGTTTATTTCACTTAGCTTTATTTTGACTCATTGCTCAATGTTTAATTTTAATTTCTTATATCTTTTCTATTTTGTGCTTGGGATAATTATGTTTTTTAGCTTTGCTTTGCATGATTTCCTGGTAATTTCATTGTCACTGTTAAGGTTGAGAATACAAAATTAAAGAATTTGTTTGTGACTTTCCTAGTAATCGCAATATAATGAAATCAAATGGAATTAATTTTCGGAGTGGAATAAATCCTAAAAATGTCCAAATCCCTTTGATCAGGCTATTTCGTAAATGGAGTTGAACAAGTTTTTTTGGACAAAAATTGTTTAGCAAATATTCTGTGGGATAGCCACTCCAATCAAGATATCTGAACTCTTTTGAGAGATATGTAAGGCGTCTATCAAGTTGCACTCCACTAATTTTGAGTATTCTTAACTGCTTCATCTTTGCAAAGGCATTAGGGCTTACCGACAACCCTCCCACGGAATTGTCAATGCCTTCTAAAGATAATCCTTTCTCAAGTAACATAATGGCTTCGATATTTTTTGTCACCTACCAACCAAGAAATAAAAACTTAACTCTAACCATACAACTTCAAAGAAGAGTACTTGGACATTTCAATACAAGAAATTTTCTTGTTTTTTTTCCGCATATTTTGCACATGGAAAGAAAATAACATATATGACTTCAACACGTACCATATTTTCAGTGAATATGTCATAAATGTCCTCGTAAGACCACAACCTGTTACGCCTTCCAGGATCTTTAGATTAATGACAAACAATCTCTCGACCCATTTCTTGTATCAAATCATGCATCCAAAGCTCGTTATATTTTGATATAGTGATGAGGGACCTGTCAGTGAGAACTTTTAATCCAATGACTGGGTGAAATCCACAACTCTTAAAAATTCTCTCTTCAAATTCTTTTTGATATCCTTTGAAGAAACATGTGATATCGAGAAATATAGCCTTCTGTTCTTCATCAATGCTACGAAATTTAGCCAATTACAAAATATGTATATCACAGTAATCCCAAAAATCCCCCACCCCTCTTACCCAGCTGATTATAGACCTATCATATGTTGTATAATCAATTTACGGTAATAATCAGGCAGTTCATCATCCTCCCATCTTAAAAAACCACATGAGCCAGTCCTGTAGTTTGCGCACCCGTAAAACCATCTACCAGGATTTCGTTGGGTATATGACACTTTCAAAGGACTTTTAACTCCACATTTACAATAATATTCTTTCACTAGCCTCCAATATGGGTAACAATGGCTTTTTGAGCTTGAAGATGATGACATGTTTGGAGTAAATGAGTAAAAATCATAACTTATCTTGAGAACATCTTGAATAGCTTTGGGAGGGTTGCTCTTCAATTTATCCAATTCATTTTTCCACTGTGAAATGCTTCTTTTGCATAAAAGAGATCCCAAAACTTGAAGAGCTAATGGAAGACCTTTGGCATAATATTTTACACGATATGAGAGTTCCCGATAAATTTCTACAGGATTGTCCCGCTGGAATGCATGCCAACTGAAAAGTTCAAGTGCTTCTTCGTCATCTAATATCTCAACTTTGTATGTTTTAATATCGAACTTCCTTAACAACCTTTCATCCCTAGTTGTTATGATTATCTTATTTCCCGAACCGAACCGAACCAATTCTCTCTTATTCCAGCTAAACTCTCTAATTGCTTCTCATGATTTACATCATCAAGAACTACAAGAATCTTTTTGTGCTCAAGTATAACCTTTATCTCATTCATTCCTTAGTCAGAATTTGATATCTCTAAATAATTATCCATTAGGGTCTTTCTAAGAAGCTTTTGTTGTAGTTTAGCTAGACCGTCTTGCCTGATTGATCCGTCTTGCTTGGTTGATTCTTCCCTCACATTTCCAAGAAAACAACTTATTTCAAATTCTTTTGACATTTGGTTGAAAACCACTTTGGCAACGGTTGTCTTACTTATTCCTCCAGTTTCACAAATCCCGACAAAGAGGTTGTCCTCTGACCTTTCATTTAACAACATGATTACTTTATTTGCTCGAGAATCAATACCCACTCCATACTTAGCAACACTTAATGGTGTAGGCGGCAATTGTCTTGAAATCTCTTGGACAATTAGTTGGATAAACTTGTCCTCATCCCTATCAAGTATAAAGCACATTAAAATATAAATACAGTGACAACAAAAAACAGAGAGGGAGAGGGTAGGTAGAGAAATACATAAAGGTTTAATTATAGATATTGAAATTTGCCACCATAAATTAAAGATAAGATAAGAAATTATATTGTATTAGAATGTTAATAATGATATCTACGTTGAAGTACTAAGCTAGTAATAACTGATGAAGCAGAACATGTATAAGTTGTTATGTTACCACAAACAATAAATGGAATTAAATATACCCATTTGCTGTATCTTGTAAATCCAAGCCGCTTATACTTGCAGCTTCCTTCAAAGCAGCCCTCCATCTATGCACCCTTTCTAACTCCTTCTCATGAATATTTTCATGGTCTATAAATGCTTCCTCAAAACTCCTCTTCTGGTGCCGAACTTGGGATGCTTTGACATGGTAGAAGATGGGCAAAACTGTCTGTCCCTTGTTCCTCCTGCACTCAAGGATCTCCACTAATTCGTCCAAGCACCATGATGAATTAGCGTAATTCTCGGAGAAAACGATCAGCGCAATGCTTGATGCTTTAATAATTTTGCGGAGCTCCGGAGATATGGATTTTCCTCTCTCAAGCTTTTCATCGTCCTTAAAGTTCCTGATTCCTCTCTGATCCAAAACCCTGTAAAGATGGCCCACAAAGGTTTTGCGAGTATCTTCAACTCTAAAACTCAAGAACACATCAAATTCCCGAGACACAAGAGGAGGAGGAGGCAGTGAAGAAGAAGATGAAGCAACCATAGGAACCTTGCTTAATTGTGTGCCAAATCTCTTGGAGCTAGAGATCTGGATATAGAGAGAGAGAGACACGAAATGTAATAGCTACATAGGCACAATACTCTGCATATATTCAAATCTGAGTCATTTCCTCCAACTGTAAAAGTATACAGAAGATGAATTTGCTTGTAACTTTCCACGAACCTTCCTTCGTTTATTGTTGACATTGTCATTTTTTAAAACGCGTAAACGCGTTCAACAACTATCTACAATTATGTGTCGGTTGTATACGCGTGCTCCCACAATAATGATGAGATGTTTTAGAAGGACAATACTTGCATCCAACCCAAGTTGGATGAAGTTTATCCAACCTGGGTACGTGGCACAATAAGGGCATGACATGTGTCATAAATAATATAAAATTCTGTTGAATATTGCCCGTCAATTTTCGGATATTACCCGTTCTCTTGCCTCGCTGCCGAGTCAACTCCTCCATCTTCCCTCAGATTCGATTCTCGTTTGGTGGCTATTGGCGAAGAAGCAACCGCCGTTGAGGTCAGCGGTGTAGTCCGTTGTCGCCGAGGTGGCCTAAGAAGAGTATGGAGAGGATAGAGTGAGTGGTGTTGGATTAGTGGCTGTTGAAAACTGAGTTGACTCAGTAGCGAGGCAGAGCCACGGCCGAATTGACGAAGACCTCGTTGCCGACGGCAATGGCTTCGATTTGGGTGGAGAGTTGGTAGCCGACCATGGCTACCGCCACCGTCGGTCCTCTTATTTCTCTAACTTCCTACCACCACCCACAATCGGCCCCTCCACCACTGCTTACCCACCATACGAAACAACCATCTCCACCCCTTCCCGGCACCACCCACAATCGGCATCCCCGCGAGCTCTCTCTCTCCATTTAGATCACACAGTAGTCAGAATCTAGGGTCAGGTTTAGACATCATTTTGTGCTATTGATTCATCACCGAAATCCCCAAATTGAAGAACGAATCAGCCATCATCGTCTTTTGATTTGACGGCGGAATTGGCCGAATTCCCAGCAGCGGTGCTCCATTGGGTCAGGACGAGTTACCAATCATCCTCACCGTCGTCGTCCGGTATCTCGTCACCATGGTGGGTCGTCTGCCCTGCCGCCGTCATCTCCTGCAACTGCCAGGACGCCGTCTCTTGCGCTGACAGCTCGCCAGTGTTGGTTGTGGTGTATATATATATATATATATATATATATCTATATCTGTGTAAGGGTTTACTGGTTTTGGGGGTGTGAAAGATTGATGATGAAATGGGTTTTTTTTTTTTTTTTTAATTGGGTTCGCTGGTTAGGTGAGTTAAAGAGAGATGGCCATAGATGGGTTTGTTGGCTGGGTGAGAGATAAAGGAAAGAGAAAGGAGGTTAAGAATGGTGGTGGTGGTGGCGGCGACGGAAAGATACGAGGTAGGGAGCGATCTTCTAAAAAAGGAAAAAAGAAAAAAAGAAAAAAAAAATAAAAATTGTTATGTCGGGTCAAAACCATTTAAGTTGGGTAAAACCCAACTTAAGTTGAATAGTGTAATGGACACTTGTCATGTTCTGATTGTGCCACGTACCCAGGTTGGACAAACTTCATCCAACCGGGGTTGGATGCAAGTATTGTCCTTTTAGAAATGCAATACGAGACTTGAAGGTGTATTATTTCTAGCATATTTTAATATTATATTATTACGTGATTTTAAATTACTTGTAGTAGAGATCTTTTCATGATCTCATTTTATAATTAATTGTCAATTTAATTTATAGATGCGACTCAGATCTTTAAATAAGTTTATATAAAAATTAATTTATTTTTATAAAATAAACCTCTTTTTGATAATGAATTTAAAGAGACAAATAATCATGCTTCATTTATTTTTTCTTTTTGTTTTTCTCTTTTGTTATTCACTTATACATGCCTCCACGAAGTAGGAGTGTGGTACCGATAGGCTATTGGCTTGTCGGTAAGTTTTGATTTAATAAATTTATAAAATTATCAATAAATTACTTTTATTGTGTGTGATTGTGACATAGACATCAAAGGACCAAGAAAAACAAAATTTACCAACAGTAACATTAAAGTACTATTATAATAATGTACTTAATTTATAATTACTTAATTTATTTTATTTTTATAATGAACCACTATAATAATCAATTTTAAGAATCAAATAGAATTTATGTAACATTTTAATTGTTTGAATTTAAAATTAGTCTTTACTTAGTTTCTAAGAGAATAGAAACATTTTACTCTAATTTTATTTATTTTGTTTGAATTTAGGCAATTTTTATTTTAATTATTTTACTATAACATATTTATTTATTTATTTTTGTCATAAAAATTAATTCTCACAACGTACTTAGGGGGACTGCACCCTCTACCTTTTGCCTTGAAATGAAAAAAAATACCACTAAGTCACATACTTTGGTTACACTAATAGGCATTTTATTTATTATATATATATATTTTTTGTTTTGATGTGATATTTTTGTATTTGATGTATAAAAACACAAAAAAAATAATACATATGATAAAGTAATAGATAGTAATATATGATGACAAAAATAATTCAAGTTTAATTATAAAAAATTATATAAAAATAGATTCAATCAAATTTGTACTTATTTGACCATGCACTTTTTTTTGGCAATTATTTTACTAGTGTAATATATTACTTGAAAACAAACATGATATGAAATAGTTATGATTTCCTAGCATTTCCTCACCACTGTAAAGGATGAAAATTCATATTGAGATTTTTCACCATAAAATCTAGTGGTAAGTCCTGAAATTATTATGATGATAGAAAGTTTTAAAGTCCTCGTATGAAAATTAAGAAAAGAAAAAGTAACAAAGTATTATTAGTGCTTTTTTTTACCCCACCATTTATGACTCTTGTATTGGTCGATCACATTGATACATAATACGGTCAATGTTTAAGTAATTTTTTGCATTCGTAAAGTTAGGCTTTCCAAGGAAAAAGCGACCATAAAGTTCTAAAATTTTCATTTTAGGAGTATTTTTGTCCAAAATACAGGTAAATTTCCTCTTAATGTTCTTTTGTCAAATTTCAGAAAGTGTGACTGTACTTTACCCTTTTTAATAATTCTATCTTTTGCTTCCCTCCTTTTGTTTTTTTCCTTTTCCTTCTCTCCCTCCACCGTCGATGATTCTGTCCTTGAATAACTAAAATAAGTAAACAAATGGAGGACAATCTATCTCTTCATAGATGGAGTGCAACTGTGCAGGCTGATAAGAAAAATACTAATAATTTATGGTTGAGATTAAAAAGAACAAAATATAACTATTTGTTTAATTTTTTATGATATTGTTGTTGATTCTACCTATTAGGACAGTCATTGTTGGGATTGAAAAATATAAATCTAGTGGTCAATATTTATTTTCTTTGAAAATAATACAATTACACATTTTATTCTTATTGAGACATAAACTTTTTTTATCTTTGATAATATAAATAGCAATATTGAAAAGTTTTTAAAACATAAAAAGTAGTTAACAAAAATTATAAATGTATTGAACAAAATTATTATCAATTTATAATTAACTTAAATATTATTTTAATTAAGAATTTAATCTCATTATTTTTTAAAGTGGTCCTGCCAAAATAAATTTTTGAATTTGTCAACGTGATGTTCAAATTCAATAAAGTGTAATCAAGTGATAAGTTCTCAAATTCTAAAAGTGATGGATAGTTTTTAGTGTTTAAATTCTCCATGTGGAGTAAAGGGAAAAGAAAACAAATGTTTCAAGCAGTTTTCTAAGTCCTGCCTTGCTAAGGGGTGCGAAGTTGGATGGCTTAATAAAGGAAAAAGTAATGATTGACTGTTCTTCACATGACACTGCTTTTGCTCCTTGGATGCTTTTGAACACACTCCTTGAAAAAGTTATTCTTTTCCTTGAAAAAGCTAGGTTCAATACGTGTTATTTATTTATTTAATGTAAATAATTAAACATACATATTATCACACAAATTTTCAAAATGACGCGAAAATTTTAATCTCTCCTTTAAAACACGAGATTATTACATAATCCGGGCTAATGACTCATTGATATATTACATGTTCTAACGGTTTCATTTAATTTAATGTTTTTTAATTTTTTTTTTTTTTTTTTTGTAAAAAGAGTAATATTTAGATAATTAAAATGGGTTGTAATAGAAAATTAGATATTTTCATTTAAATTAGTTTTTATTTTTATTTTTTATCTAAACAAAAAACTCACACACTTAATTTGTCTACACAACCCTTGATATTATGAGCTCATTTTATTAACACACTTTGACTACTAAAAAATAGTAAACAAGTTGCCTATTATGTTGACTTAGATTAAAATGGTCTTATAATTAATTGTGAGTTGTGCAGCATAATATATTGCGGAGAGAATTTAATCACATATGTCTTTATTCAACAAACTCAGTTAAAATTACGAATGCCAAAGTATAGGTGTAAAAAAAGTCAAAAATAATGGTTACACATTCAATAAAAACAACTAACTAGAAGGAATAAAATCAATTGTATCTCTTTATTGCAAGTCTAATCCACTATTTATACATACTCGTAAAAGAATTAGGAGCTAGAGATCGGAGACCAATTAGTGTGTGTGTGTATATATATATATATATATAGAGAGAGAGAGAGAGAGAGTACGCACAGTACTCTGCATATATTATATATTTTCAGTAGCAATAAAGCTAGATGCCTATTCAAATCTGAGTCATTTCCTTCGTTTATTGTTCCTTCAACTTCGTTTATTGAGAAGTTTTTAGGGACAAACTATCGAAGGGCTGGCAGTAGGCTTGTTCAGTTAATTCCCAGTGCTCTTCACTATGATGATTTGACAATAAAAGGAACCTAAATTCAATAAAGAAAATACTTCTACGGCGTTATAAAAACCTCATACTAAATATTTGATTTCTTGGGTTTATTACAAAACTATAGTTGTACCACAACTAATCAAAGAATACAAAAGCTACAATAATTGATTGTC